CCAGTCCCTGTCGTGTCTGGGGGTGCGGGAGGTACAGTTGCGGAGGGTGAGGGTGCTGGGGCTGTAGGAGCTCGTGGTGTCGGTTCAGGGGGTGCAGTGGGTGTGGGCGTGGAGGTCACTCCTGTGGAGGACACGGCAGCCTCGAGTCGGCGGCCTCGCCCCGCCTCACCCCCCGGCTTCCCGGTCGTCCCGCAGTTCCCTCCTCGTTCTCCTCTGCGGCCGGTTGCTGCGGAGCTTGGGGGTGCTCCTACAGGAGGTACTGGAGGCCCCGGGGGTGTCACTAGTGGAGGTGATGGTTCTGGGAGTGCTGGAGCTGGAGGCACTGGCACTGTGGCGCCTACACCTCGCACTGTACGTTTCCTGACCCGTGAGCAGCGTCTCCTCCGGTTGGAGAGGGAGGAGCGTGAGCGGTTTGAGAGGGCACAGCAGCAGCAGCAGCAGCAGCAGCAGCAGCAGCAGCAGCACCAGCAGCGGCAGCAGGAGCAGCAGCAGCAGCTACAGCAGCAGGAGAGAGTAGAGGAGGAGTCACAGCACCAGCACGAGAGGGTAGAGCAGGAGTCCCGGTCGCAGCAGCGCGTGCAGCTGCAGCCCCAGCAGGAGAGAGTACAGGAGGAGTCACGGCCGCACCAGGAGAGGGTAGAGCAGGAGTCCCACCCGCAGCAGCAGGTGCATTTACAGACCCAGCAGGAGAGAGTACAGGAGGAGTCACGACCCCAGCAGGAGAGGGTAGCGCCGGAGTCCCGCTCGCAGCAGCGGGTGCAGCTGCATTCGCAGCAGGAGAGGGCAGAGGTGGAGCCACAGGAGCAGCAGCAGGGGCCGGTGCCGTCGCAGTAGACGCCAGAGGAGGCAGAGCAGCAGCGACTGCGACTACACGACCTCCCCGACCCAGCACCTGCACGCTTTGTTCGTGGTCCCCTACCGTCCCCTCCTGTTCCCCCTGTTGAGTCCCTTTCCTCGTCCCAGTGGACTCGTCGTTCTCCCCTCAGTCGTGCTGTGTCCCCAGAGCGTCGTCGGTCCTGTTACCGTGCAGACGGTCCGTTCCACCTTGTTCTTCGCTCTCGTGTTCCACCTCCTCCTGTCCTTCCACAGCCCCCTGAGTCGTTCCTCACTGTGCTTCACGACCCGTTGTCCGACTACCTCCGTGCCTCCCGTCCTGTCGTCTCCCGTGTTTTGTCCGCGTTGGTCACTCACCCGACTGCACCTCTGTCGTCTGTTTCGGCACTTGTTACCACTGTCGCTGGCTTTGCCTCTTCCCACCGCCTTGACTACGCCGCTCACTTGGTGAGTGGCCCTGCTCGTTCTCCGTTCTCTGGGGGTGCTCCTGTTTTTCCCCTAGAGGTCCTCGAGGACAGGCAGTTCGAGTTTGGTTTTCTTGCGGCCGCTGTTCCTCGTCTCTGCGCCATGTTGCTTGCCCCTGAGAGGGATCCAGATGCTCTTGACATCCCGATCCCTCGCACTCACGCCGAGGCGGTTTCGGGACCCTGGGCTTCGTACTGGATAGCAGCTGAGGAGGCAGAGATGGCATCTTATAGGTCCACAGGCACTTACGTCGACGCAGTCCCACCACCTGGGACGAACGTCGTCAGTGGCCGATGGCTCTACAAGGTGAAGCGGCCGCCTGGATCACCACCAGTGTTCAAGGCGCGCTATGTGGCGAGAGGCTTCAGTCAGCGAGAGGGGGTGGACTTCTTCCAGACCTTCGCTCACACCCCGAAGATGAGTACTCTTCGGGTGTTGCTGCATATTGCAGCCCAGCGCGACTACGAGTTGCACTCCTTGGACTTCTCCACCGCGTTCCTTCAGGGGAGCCTGCACGAGCAGATCTGGCTGCGTCGCCCGCCTGGCTTCACTGGCTCTTTCCCACCTGGGACCCAGTGGCAGCTGCGTCGACCAGTCTACGGCCTGCGTCAGGCTCCACGTGAGTGGCACGACACACTTCGCTCGACTCTTGCAGCGCTTGACTTCTTTCCGTCGTCCGCCGACCCGTCGCTGTTCGTTCGCCGTGGCTCGACCCCGTTCTTTGTCTTGGTCTACGTCGACGACCTGGTGTTCGCCACTCCCGACCGACGCGCGCTGGCCTCCGTGAAGGAGGAACTGCAGAGGAGACACACTTGCACTGACCTTGGTGAGCTGCAGCACTACCTTGGCCTGCAGATCACCAGGGACAGGGCAGCTTGCACCATTACGCTGACTCAGTCGCATATGGTCGAGCAGATCCTCATGCGGTTTCGCTTCCCGTTCTCCAAGGTACAGCTCACCCCTCTTGGTGTGGATCATGGGCTCACGGCTCCACCTTCGGACCAGTGGTCCATATCCTGAGCTGGTGGGTTGTCTCATGTACCTGATGACCTGTACTCGCCCAGACCTAGCTTACCCTCTTAGCGTCCTTGCGCGCTTTGTTGCGCCTGGGAGACACCGACCGTCCCAATGGTACGCTGCTAAGAGGGTGGCGAAGTATGTGGCGAGTATATCAGGCATGGGACTTGTCCTTGGAGGGAAGCAGCCAGTTACACTCACATGTTACTCGGACTCGTCGTGGGCCGACGACGCGGAGACGCGTCGGTCTACAGAGGGGTACTCTTTTAGCCTCGGGGCAGGCGCTGTTTCGTGGCGGTCGACTCGGGCGTCGTCCGTCGCCGGTTCCAGCTGTGAGGCAGAGGTGTACGCTGTGGCCATGGCCGCTCAGGAGCTCCGCTGGCTGTCCTTCCTTCTCACCGACCTTGGTGAGCGGCCTCGCTCTCCCCCAGTCTTGTTCGCCGACAACAGGTCTGCTGTCCTGTTGTGTGAGGATCCCCGACTGGTTGGGAAGGCGAAGCACATCCAGCTTCGTTACTTCCTTCTGCATGAGTTGCAGCAGCGTGGCCAGGCACTCGTAAGGCGTGTGGTCTCCGAGGCCAACACGGCAGATATCTTCACCAAGGCGTTGCCGCCTTGTGACCACCAGCGTTTCTGCACCCAGCTTGGCCTTGTGCCTGCCCGTCCTCACTTGCTTACGTAGAGATGCTTTGTCCTGCATGTCTTGTACTCTTGCATCTCTTTATATTTGCTATATACCTGCATGTGGACTGGCGTTGTGGCCCCTTGCTTGCTCTCGGAGTGTGTGGTGACTTTGAGCTCCACCCTGAGATTTGTCTTGTTCTTGTGGCTTGGTCTTGTAACCCTTGCTTGTTCTTGCTGACTGGTCATGTGACCCTTGTTTGCTCTCAGAATGTGTGTGTCCTTGAGACCCACCCTGAGATTTGTGTTTCTTTCCACACGACTACGGTACCGTCACCTAGACTATGGGGGTGTGTCAACATATATTTTATATGTTGTATTTGGTTTAGTCTAGGTGTTACTGTTTTGCCCTACTTCTAGATTAGGGTTTCATACATATTGCTTGTAACTTTGTTACTCTAGTCAATTCTTAGATTGTGACATCTTAGATTGTGACACGGCCTACAGGGTAGGGCAACGAGGGCGTGGATAGGGCAGGCGCTCGAGGACGCAGGCAGGGCAGGCGCTCGAGGGCGCGGGTAGGCAGGCGTCCAGGGGCGGCTTCGCGAGTGCAGAGCAGGCCCGCGCGCGGCCTGCAAGGCAGCGCTCGAGGGCGCGGGTAGGGCAGGCGCTCGAGGGCGCAAGCAGGGTAGGCGCTCAAGGGCGCGGGTAGGCAGGCGCAAGGCGCGTGACGCGGCAGGCAGGCACGGCAGTGCGCGTCGGGTAGGGCAGAAAAAAAGTTCGTGGTGGGCCCTAAAAAAAACGTTCCCACTAGGGAACCTGCTCTGAAACCATGTTAAAGTTAGAACGAGAAATGACTAGAAACAGGACAGTACAAGGTTTGTATAGGCAAAACCTAAAAAATCTGTACCCCATAAGGAGTGCCCCACTACAGCCTACAATATAGTTCTGACAGTATTTACTAAGGCGTGCAGATGGGTCGAGACTGATGCATTGGTTACTAACGAGTCGCGAAGATGTTCAAATGTCATTCCACTCGGGCCGGCCCCGACGCCTTTCTGGCATCGGCTGAGCATTTTCGAAAAGTCCGCGTAGGAAATTTCAACGTTCGGAGGCTCGGTGATGTCAGGCCAGGTCAGGGGTTCGGGGTCGGCTGCGGGATGCTTTTGGCAGAGTTCCTCCAGAGTCTCTGGGCTGGGCGTACAGACTGGTGTTGGCAGCTTCAACGCCAACACGGCCCGGCCCAGACTCCCTTTTTTTGCCAGGCCCTCCGCTCTGCTGATGGTCCCACGTCGTCAGGCTGGTGACGTGGTGGGGGTGGTGTGTTGACAGCTTCAACCGCATCCAAGTACAGCTGCTACCACTCACCGCGTTGGAAAGCACAGAGCCATGCCTTGATGTTGGGCCAATCAGGTCGTTTCGGCGAACCCTGTCGCAGTGTCAGGCGCGGGAGAAAATAAGAGTAAATTCCAGCCCGCAATGGAGTCTGGGTTTCGCGAGAGGTGCATGAGTGGTGTCAGCACTGCGAGCGAGAAGATCTCGTACAAGTTTGGCGGTAGCCGTCATAACATAGTAGGTTGGTGACTATCGCAGAGTGGCGAAATGTCCCACCCCGCCACCTCGGCGAATTTTTCCGTCTGCCTCGCCAGCTCCTCTGGCGAAAAAAAAGCGTGAATTTTGGGACTGGCAAGCCGCATTTGCCAGACCCCTAGCGGTTTGATTTGTGCACCCGCGGCTCGAAGTACGAGTTGAGGGCGGGGTTGGAATGGTGACCGTCGGATCCACATCCTGTGGTCCCTGGGTGCCTCCTGCTTGCACCTCCGATCCTCTCTGGTTCCCTCTACTTCGTCCCGTCGTTTGTTCTCTCTCATCCTCCTTGTCTTCCTCCTCGCTCGGCTCTTGTGCTTCCTCCCTATGAGAGGGGTCGTTCCGCTCCTCCGGATCATTATTCTTGTCGAGTCGTATTAAAGCCCTTCGTGCCGCCTCCTGGAAAGCGTTCTTCGGTCCGCCTTCGATTCGCCGCCCTTCCCGGCGTTCTGCTCCTCGTCTCCTCCCGCCTCGCGATGGTGATTGCTTGTGAATCGTGGCCATTGCCAAAGCCCGCGGCTGCTGCGTCAACGGTGAGCGGAAAGTCACCGCCGGCGTCTGCCTCGGGGAGTGCAGCAATGAAGCCGCCAGTCCCCCCTGCCCCGAAGCTTGTTCCCTCTGCCGCTGATGTCTCTGCGAGTCCGACTCCGGCCCTTGTGTCGAGCGACTCTCCGACGTCCCCACTGCTTGCTCCGCCTGCCCCTGTTGCCAAGCTGGGCCCTCCCGCTCCTGTCGTGAGTCCCGCGAGCCCCGCTCCTGGTCCGCCGGCTGTCCCTGAGGCAACTGGTGTTGATCCACATGTTCCCGTCCCTGCCGCACCTGATGCACAGCCCGCTGCTGTCCCCGCCGTGTTGGCGCCTGCCGCTGCTTTGTCACCGCAGGCGGTGTCCGCCACCACTGGCAACCTGGCTCCGTTGGTCGTGCCCTTGGCGCCTGGTATGATGCCGATGGCCCCGGCGGGTCAACCGCCGCGCCCCCCCTCGACTGACCGCCGCCTGTCTCGCCACGGAGCGTGAGTCGTCACGGCGCCGGCGTGATTCTCCTTGGCGCTACCACCAGCAGTCTCACTGGCTTGCTCACCCTGGTGGCCATGGGGGATGGAGGGGTAACAGCGGGCGTGGTGGTGGCGGGGCATACCGCCCGCCTGTGACAATGGCGGATCTTTAGCGGGATGTGTCGAGGGCAGTGCGCGAGGAGAGGGCAGTGCAGAGCCAGAGTAGTCCGCTGCGGGCCGCGCCGGCGCATGTGGCTCATCGTCAGGCTGTGCCTCCCGTGGACCTTCCGCCAGGTGCTGCACTTCCTCCTCCTGTCCTTGGCCCATCGGCTCCGCCTCCTGCTGCCTCGGCAGCTGCTCCTGGGTCTCGTCTTTGCCTGCCGCCTCCGCCGGTGGCAGGTGTGGAGTTTGTTGCCGCTGGTGGAGCGGCGGGGGCGCAGTACTCTCCTTGTCTCGCTGCGGATGAGCCGCTTCCCTTCTTGGCGGTGGCACTTCAGCCCCCGCAGACCTGTGTTCTTGAGGCGACGCTCGGCCAGTTGCACCGTCTTGCGGAGAGCCTTCACGCGCTGCTGCTGATTCAGGTGCTGGCCCATTCGTCCCTCCCTGCGATCCCTGCTGACTCGTTTCATGACCGGCCGCGCGAGACTTGCCTGGACGCGGCGGACCAGCTCGCACAGTTGCTGGCGCCCACGTTGCATGTGCTCGCAGAGGGTGGCGCTGCGGCTGTGGGACAGCTTGACGAGGCTGTACGGGGCTTGAGGCGACACTTGCGCGCAGGATCTGGAGCCACGGCGATCGGCGCAAGTACGCTGGTGGTCCGTGAGCTGTGGCAGACGTTGACGGGCATTCTCCACGCACTCGGAGCTCACCGGATGTAGATCCGGGCTCCGCTTGCAGTGAAGCCTGCAGCTTAAGTCACTAGTGAGCCCATTCCTCTAGTCACGCATGAGTCAGTTGCTCTATCCGTACAAGCGGAATGCTCCTGGCATACGAGCTAGTTACTCCAGTGCCCTCAAGTAGCATGTAGACTAGCAGCTTCAATCGCCACCCATCTCTTCCTCTCCTCTCGATGGCCCTGGTATTTATAGGTCAAAAGGTACAAACATGCAAGTTTATAGGCAAGATGTGTTCAGCTAAACTAGCATACAAACTCATGCAGTGCACCCGTATCCGTTACCGGAACTCAACAAGGGGCTCCAGACGCCCCTAAGGGGGATCTAGACGCCCTTGACATCCCGATACCCCGCACTCAAGCCGAGGCGGCCTCGAGACCCTGGGCTCCGTACTGGATAACAGCTGAGGAGGCTGAGATGGTATCTTATAGGTCCAAAGGCACCTACATTGACGTCGTCCCACCACCTAGAACGAACGTCGTCAGTGGCATGTGGCACTACAAGGTGAAGCGCCTGCCTCGATCACCACCACTGTTCAAGGTGCGCTATGTGGCGAGAGGCTTCAGTCAACGCGAGGGGGTAAACTTATTCCAGGCCTTCGCTCCCACCACGAAGATGACCACTCTTCGGGTGTTGTTGCACATCGCAGCTCAGCGCAAGTACGAGTTACACTCTTTGGACTTCTCCGCAACGTTCCTTCAGGGGAGCCTGCACGAGCAGATCTGGCTGCGTCGTCCCCCTGGCTTCACTGGCTCTTTCCCTCCTGGGACTCAGTGGTAGCTGCGTCGACCGGTCTACGGCCTGCTCCAGGCTCCTCGTGAGTGTCACGACACACTTCGCATGACTCTTGCAGCACTTGACTTCTTTCCGCCATCTGCGGACCCGTCACTCTTCGTCTGTCGTGGCTCGACTCGTTGTTCTGGTTTACGTCAATGACCTGGTGTTCGCCACTCCCGACCGACGCGCACTAGCTTCTGTGAAGAAGGAACTGCAGAGGAGACACACTTGCACTGACCTTGGTGAGCTGCAGCGCTACCTCGGGCTCCGGATAACCAGGGACAGGGTAGCTCGCACCATTACGCTGACGCAGTCGCATATGGTCGAGCAGATCCTCACGCGGTTTTGCTTCCGATTCTCCAAACTGCAGCCCACCCCTCTTGCTGTGGATCATACGTTCACGACTCCACCTTCGGTCGAGCCATTTGCGTCCAGTGGTCCATATCCTGAGCTGGTGGGTTGCCTCATGTACTCGATGACCTGTACTCGCCCAAACCTAGCTTACTCTCTTAGCGTCCTTGCGCGCTTTGTTGCACCTGGGAGACACCGACCTTTCCACTGGTACGCTGCTAAGAGGGTGGCGAAGTATATGGCGAGTACATCAGGCATGTGACTTGTCCTTGGAGGGAAGCAGCCAGTTACACTAACAGGTTTCTCAGACTCGTCGTAGGCCGACGGCTCAGAGTCGCTGTGATCTACACAGGGTTACTGTTTCAGCCTTGGGACCGGAGCTATTTCGTGGAGGTCGATCCGGGCGTCGTTCGTCTCTAGCTCCAGTGTCAGAGGTGTATGCTGCGGTCATGGCCGCCCAGGAGCTTCGCTGACTGTCTTTAATTATCACCGACCTTGATGAGCGGCCTTTCTCTTCCCCAGTCTTGTCCGCCGACAAGATGTCTGCTGTCCTATTTTGCGAAGAGCCCCTACTGGATGGGAAGGCAAAGCACATCCAGCTTCATTGCTTCCTTCTACGAGAGTTGCAGCAGCGTGCGACATGTGATCTCTGTGGCCAACACTGTAGATATATTCACCAAGACGTTCCCGCCTTGTGACCACCTGCGTTTCTACACCCAGCTGGGCCTTGTATCTACAGGCCCTCACTTTCTTACCTGTACTCTTGCATCTCGTTATATTTGTTATATATTTGATTGTGGACTGGCCTTGTGGGCCCTTGTTTCCTTTGAGATGATTGTCTTGTACTCTTGCATCTTCTATAACTGCTATATCCTTGCATGGGGACTGGCCTTGTGGCCTCTTGCTTGTTTTTTGCCTTGTGTGGTGATCTTGAGATCCACCCCGAGGTTTGTTGTGTTCTTGTGAACTGGTCGTATGACCGTTGCTTGTTCTTGCTGACTGGTGATGTGACCCTTGCTGCGTGTTGCTTTCCACAGGACTACCGTCACCTAGACGATGGGGGTGTGTCAAGCTATCTTTGTTAAAATTATATTTGTTAGTCCAGGTGCATTTTCTGTTAGTTATGGTTGGGGTTAGGTTTCATATAAACTTGTTGTATTTTCCCCTTCTAGTCATTCATTCCATCATTTATATCGTAACACACCTGAGTGGTGGCTGCCTGTCCTCTATCCGTTGGGGGTGAGTCTGCACTTGGCTGTGACGTCCTAAAGGATAGGCATTTTGAGCTGGAGTTCCTAGCAACCGCTTCTCCCCATCTCTATGCCATGCTGCTAGCCCCTGAGGGAGACCCCGACGCCCTTGACATACCGACTCCTCGCACACACCGTGAGGCAATGTCAGAGCCGTGGGCCTCTCAGTAAATAGCGGCCATAGAATCAAAGATGGCGTCTTTTAGATCCACATGCACTTATATCGACACAGTTCCCCGCCTAGGGCGAACGTAGTCAAGGTGAAGCGACCGCCTGCATTGCCTCATGTCTTCAAGGCGTGCTACGTGGCTAGGGGCTTCAGTTAGCATGAGGAAGTTGACTTCGTCCAGACCTTTGACCCGACCCTGAAGATCACTACTCTTCGGGTGTTACTTTACGTTGCAGCACAGCGAGAATACGAGCTGCATTCCCTCGACTTCTCCACTGCCTTTCTCCAGGGCCGCCTACACGAGGAGATATGGCTGCGCCTTCCTCCTGGCGTCACTAGCACTTTCCCACCTGGAACCTAGTGGAGCCTGGGACGTCCAATCTACCATCTCCACCAGGCGCCTCGTGAGTGGCATGACACTCTTCGCTCCACACTTGTTGATCTTGGTTTCGGACCTTCTACCGCCAACCCATCGTTGTTCGTTCGTTCTAGGCCCGCACCTTACGTCCTCGTCTATGTCGACGACTAGGTCTTTGCTACAGCGGATAGGGCTGCTCTAGCTAAGGTGAAGGTTGAACTGCAGAAGAGACACACATGCACTGACCTTGGTGAACGGTGCCGCTGCCTTGGCTTGCAGATCACCAGCTACAGAGCTGCTTGCACCATCACACTTACTCAGTCACACATGGCACAGTAGGTCCTGCAGCGGTTCGAGCTTCAGATCTCCTCCACACAGCCCTCTCCTCTTATCGTTGACCGCAGGCTCACCGCTCCTGTTCCTAACGAGCCCTTTGAGTCTTGTGGTCCCTACGCAGAGCTAGTGGGCTACCTCATGTATTTGATGGCATATACTCGCCCAAACCTCACCTTTTCTTGCTCGCTTCGTTGCGACCAGGAGATACCGTCCTGTCTAGTGGGCGGCAGCTGTTAGGGTATGGGGCTACATTAGGCATGGGGCTCGTGCTTGGAGAGAGACAGCAAGTTGTGTTGACCAGTCACTGCGACTCTTACTACGCCGACAACGTCGAGACCTAGAGGTATACTTAGGGGTATGCTTGGGCTCGGGTGTTCTGTCGTGGAGGTCTACTTGGTCATCGTCTGTGGCGCAGTCTAGTGCTGAGGCCGAGATCTACGCTAATGCCATCGCTGCGCAGGAGCTTCGGTGGTTGACTTTCTTGCTCACCGACCTTGGTGAGCGGCTAAGCTCTGCTCTGACCTTGTTCGCTGACAACAAGGCCATGATCCTCCCGTATCGAGTGCCTCGACTGGAGAGCAGAGTGAAGCACATCGACGTGAGACACTTCCTAGTGCGAGAGCTGCAGCGACGTGGTTAGGTGCGTTTGGAATTTGTGGTCTCAGCGGCCAACACTGCAGACATCTTCACCAAGGCCCTTCCGCCTGGTGATCACCACAGGTTCTGTCTGCAGCTAGGCCTTCTTTAGGTAGGCCCCTCAGTTACTGTAGTCTTACCTCTTGTTTCTTGCTCTGCTTGTATATACATATATATTTGTGAACTCTTGAACTGGCCTTGTGGCATCTTGCTTGTGCTCAGACTCTGAGGTGACTTCGTGATCCACCCAGTGATTTGTGCTGTTGCGTCTCTTGACTGGTCTTGTGATGGCCCCCACTTAGCCTATGGGAGTGTGTCAAACTATGTTTGTAGTTTTAGATATTCTGTAGTGGGGCACATCTTAGGGGGGACAACAAACTTCTCCACACTCTTCTTGGTACAGTCAGAAGGTATGAAACGAGAATGACTAGAAACAGGGCAGTACAAGGTTTGTATATGCAAAACCTAACAATACTGTACCCCATAAGGAGTGCCCCACTATAGCCTACAACATAGTTCTGACACACCCCCATAGGCAAAGTGGGGGATAAGCAAGAGAACAAGGCAAGGTCAAGCTCAAGGTGGATCACAACGTCACCACGCATTCTCAGCACAAGTACAAGGCCACAAGGCCAGTTCACATGCAGGATTATAAATCAAGGTGAACAAGCAAGACAGTGATCTCAACCTAGCAAGGGTAAAGGTGCAGGTATATATAGATCACAGTACACGCAAAGTCAAGAGGTAAGCAAGTGAGGCCAGGTAGGCACAAGACCTAACATAGTACAAAAGCGCTGATGATCACAAGGCTGAAGTGCCTTGGTAAAGATATCGGCAGTGTTGGGCCGAGTGGCCACGTAAGCAAGACGAAGCTGACCACGCTGCTGCAACTCTCGAGCAAGGAAGTAGCGCAGAGCAATGTGCTTCGTTTTGTGCTCCAGTCTGTGCTCCTGACACAAGGCCAGCATGGCCTTGTTGTCGACGTACAGAACTGGAGGAGAACGAGGCGCCTCTCCCAAGTCGGTCAGCAGGTAGGTCAGCCAGAGTAACTCATGTGCAGCGATGGCCCCTGCGTAGATCTCAGCCTCACAAAGGGAGCTGAGAACAGAAGACGAGCGGGTAGACCGCCACAAAACAGAGCCGGAACCAAGGCTGAAGGTGTAACCGTGTGACGACCGCTGCGTAGCCAAGTCGTCAGGCCAAGAAGCGTCTGCGTGACCAGTGAGGACAACTCGAGCCCGACCTCCAAGCACAAGCCCCATGCACGACGTATTGCACACGTAGCGCAACACCCTCTTAGCTGCATCCATGTGCTCTGGTCGGTGTCTCCCAGGAGCAACATAGCGTGCCAAGATGCTAAGAGGGTATGCCAAGTCAGGTCGAGTGCAGGTCATCAGGTACATGAGGCAGCCAACAAGCTCTGAGTATGGGCCACTCGGCTCTACGGACTCATCTGAAGGCAGAGCTGAGAGCGAGTGGCGAGTAGACAGAGGAGTGGCCTGAGGCGAGGAGCACGTGAAGTTGAAGCGCTGAAGGACCTGCTGCACCATGTGTGACTGAGTCAAGGTAATGGTGCGCCGTGCTCTGTCCCAGGTGATCCGCAAGCCAAGATAGCTGCGCAGCTCACCCAGGTCTGTGCACGTGTGTCTCTTCTGCAGCTCCGACTTCACGTGGGCGAGTCCCTCAGTGTCAGCAGTGGCAAAGACCAAGTCGTCGACGTACACGAGGATGTAGAACGGCGGCAGCGAAGTGTCGGTGCGCAGAAACAGCGACGGGTCAGCAGTGGAAGGAGCAAACCCAAGAGCCGCAAGCGTAGTCCTCAGTGTGTCGTGCCACCCTTCCATACTCTAGTCATCAATCACCATTCCTCGTACCTTCCGAAGCTAGTTATATCTTAAGAAGGCATGCCAGCACCTCCACCTCTTCCACTACCACGACCCCCCTTGCGCCTGCCACGCCCACCCGAGGCAGCAGCATCAACTGCAACCTCTGTAATAGGAGCGGGCTTTGCAACAAAAGCAGGGGGAGCAGAGACAGGGATCCGGGGAGGGGCAGAGCGTTTGAAAATAGGGGGTACCACCTCACCAGTAGTCGCGGCTATGGTGCGGAGGCGGATCTCGATCTTAGTGAGACTGATCTAATGAAGATCGCGACGGAGACCAGTAGGGTGCATACTGTCAGAATCCCAACCACTAGACCATTGGGATAAAAGGGCTTGTTTCAGTAGCGGGTCAGTGCGCCCATAACCCCCCAGGCTAACATGCCTGTAACCTCCCCAAGGATCAATCGGGGATCTCACAGTGCAGCTCTACTGACACCCCCCCACACTGGGAGGCCCAGGACTGAGCACAGCGGCAACGGCCTGCATGTGCATACACCGGGATTCGAACCCGAGACTGCTCTGATACCATGTCAGAATCCCAACCACTAGACCATTGGCATAAAAGGGCTTGTTTCAGTAGCGGGTCAGTGCGCCCATAACCCCCCAGGCTAACATGCCTGTAACCCCCCCAAGGATCAATCGGGGATCTCACAGTGCAGCTCTACTAACACATACCGTTTGCAAAGATGGCCCACGCCGTGGACCAGACGAAGTACTTGGTCTGGGTGTCGCGCGACGCAACTGCACATCTCGCCCTTAGTCACCTCCTCCCCCATGCCGAGCGCGTACACTGACACATGGGCTTACAGGTACGCATCGTCCTGGCGCTAGCTATGTAGTTGAAGCTGAACGTCATTCTGCCAAATGTCAAAATCGATCGCCGGACCCTCTGCATCAATGCGAAGTACGAATGTAGAAGTATGAATTTAGAGAGAATAGTGGCGCAGCTACCGATTAGAGCGTGGTAGAGACTTGAGTCTAGGACGAGGCCGGTGTGAGGAGGGACTAGAACGGCAGCGATCAAATGAAACGAACTAGAAAGGACGTACGGTGGCTAAGACTGTCACTAGCAGTTGTAGTTGTGGTAAGCGTAGTACTGGCTAGGGCTGGAAGGGGAGACAGAGTGGCAACTGTAAGAGAGGCATCTGTAGCGGGCGGTAGCTGGCTTAGGTAGCTACAGCGATGGCGCGTGTAGGGATCAAGTGGCAGCGGCGGGGTAGGGCGGCTGTAGCAGCGGGCGGCAAGCTGCAGCCGCAAGCAGCGAGAGGGCGGCAGGCTGCAGTAGCGGGTTGCGGGCTGCAGCATCGAACAGCTCACAAGCTACTGATTGAATGAGCAATACAAACAGCGCGAGCGGCGGTGTTACTTTACATTCACTCTGAAAAGGTGTCAATAACAAATCCGTTGTGCATTTACTCTCCTGAGCAAAGGTCCTGACTACCCCTACTGCAGGGCCCAAAATTGGTTTAGGCCCACCCTGACCAATCAGGCCCTGACCCTTAAGGTAAATTTTTTCATACCCTGCTGAAAACAGCCTAAAATTTCCCTTGAACTGATTATGGCAGTGTAACTTTGCATTTACACTGTTTGCACTACAGGTTTCCAAACTCATGAATATCACACTTAGGGCGCATTCCGCTCAAGACATGTCACAAAAGAAAGTGTCACAAACATATTTGTGACTAATTGTGACCTCCGAAGTCCTATTTGTGACTAATTGTGTATGGCCGATAATCATGAATAGCAAGTTTCCAACCATTCCTGGTAAGACATTTGGCTCGATCGTGACTGTTCTTGGTTCGCAGCATCACAATTTGTCACGGTTTTGCTATCGGTGTATCACAATTAGTCACGAACATTATTTTCAGAGTACCACGATTAGTCACAAATAATGTTTGTGACACTTTCTTTTGTGACATGTCCAGATTATTGAATGTCCCCATTGTTAGAATATAGAACTAGGCATCAGGGTGATACAAGTAGGAAACCCTAGCAATGTTGTACCCCCTGAGGCTAAACCCACTATAGCCTACACAATATAAACATGTATAATGTTTGACACACCCCCATAGGCGAAGTGGGGGACAACCAGATGGTCACAAGACCAGTCAAAGCAAAGCAAAGCAAGCTCAGGGTGGATCTCAAGGAAACCACACAAATTCCGAGCACAAGCAAGCGGTCACAAGACCAGTTCACATGCAGTTTGATAATATAACAAGAGGTACAGTGATCACAACCTAACAAGTGTAAGCATGCAGGTATATATATATAGAGATCACAGTACAAGCAGAGTCAAGAAGTAAGCAAGTGAGGTACAGTAGGCACAAGGCCGAGAACAGTACAGAAACACTGATGATCACAAGGCTGAAGCGCCTTGGTGAACACATCAGCAGTGTTGGCCCGAGTGGCCACATAAGCAAGATGAAGCTGACCACGCTGCTGCAACTCTCGAGCAAGGAAGTAGCGCAGAGCGATGTGATTCGTTCTGTGCTCCAGTCTGTGCTCCTGACACAAGGCAATGGCGGCCTTGTTGTCGATGTACAGCACTGGAGGAGAACGAGGCCGCTCTCCCAGGTCGGTCAGCAGGTAGGTGAGCCAGCGTAACTCATGTGCACCCATGGCTGTGGCGTAGATCTCAGCCTCACAACTGGAGCTGAGAACTGAAGACGAGCGTGTAGAACGCCAAGAAACTGAACCAGAGCCAAGGCTGAAGGTGTAACCCTGAGACGACCGCTGTGTAGCTTGGTCGTCAACCCAAGAAGCGTCTGAGTGCCCAGTGAGTACAACGTCACTCCGTCCTCCAAGCACTAGCCCCATGCCCGACGCACTGCACAAGTAGCGCAACACCCTCTTAGCGGCATCCATGTGCTCCTTCCGATGACGGCCAGGAGCGACATAGCGTGCTAGGATGCTAAGAGGGTATGCAAGGTCAGGTCGTGTGCAGGTCATCAGGTACATGAGGCAGCCCACAAGCTCTGGATACGGGCCACTCGGCTCTACGGACTCATCTGAAGGCAGAGCTGAGAGCGAGTGACCGGTAGGCAGAGGAGTGGACTGAGGCGAGGAGTACGTGAAGAGGAAGCGCTGAAGGACCTGCTGCACCATGTGTGACTGAGTCAAGGTGATGGTGCGCTGTGCTCTGTCCCGGGTGATCCGCAAGCCAAGATAGCTTGTCAGCTCACCCAGGTCTGTGCACGTGTGCCTCTTCTGCAGCTCCGACTTCACGTGGGCGAGTGCCTCAGTGTCAGCAGTAGCAAAGACCAAGTCGTCTACGTACACGAGAATGTAGAACGGCGGCAGAGTGGTGTCGGTACGTAGAAACAGCGACGGGTCAGCAGTAGAAGGAGCAAACCCAAGAGCAGCAAGAGTGGTCCTCAGTGTGTCGTGCCATTCACGGGGGGCCTGGCGGAGACCGTAGACTGGCCGCCGGAGGCTCCACTGGGAAACGACCCAGTGAAGCCAGGTGGGCGACGCAGCCAGATCTCCTCGTGCAGGCTGCCCTGTACGAAAGCTGTGCTGAAGTCAAGAGAGTGGAGCTCGTAGTCACGCTGAGCAGCGACGTGCAGCAGAACCCGAAGAGTGGTCATCTTCGGGGTAGGGGAGAGGGTCTGGAAGAAGTCAACTCCCTCACGCTGATTGAAGCCTCGTGCAACGTAACGCGCCTTGAAGACAGGCGGAGAACCGGGCGGCCGCTTCACCCTGAAAATCCACATGCCACTAACGATGTTCGCCCCAGGCGGGGGAACGTCGTCTACGTAGGTGCCTGTGGACTTCCAAGAAGCCATCTCTGCGTCCATGGCTGACTGCCGCTGAGAGGAGTAGGGACCCTCTATCGCCTCTGCGTAAGAGCGCGGGGTCGGGATGTCTGGTGCATCCGGGTCTCCCTCAGGGGCAACCAGCATGGACACGAGATGAGTTAAAGCAGCGGCAAGGCACTCAAACTCCTCCTGTCTGTCCTCAAGGACGTCAGTGCCAAGAGCACACTCACCCCCGACGGACGGAGGACAGACAGACTCACACTCAGCAACAAGACTAGCAGCGTAGTCGAGACGACAGGTGGCAGCAAAGTCAACAAGCTCGGCGACTAGAGCAGACGCAGTAGTGGACTCAAAGGAAGGGTCAGTGACAACAGTGGCGAGGAGACTCGTGACAGTAGGACTGGCAGCACGAAGGGAGTCAGACTCCGGGTCAGCAAGAGCAGGAAGAGAGGACGCAGGAGGAGACGGAAGAGGGACACGCTGTGGAGCAGTAGAAGGACGCAGAGTCATATAGTGAGTGCCAGGGACTGGAGGAGGACGCTCACGCGGAACACGACGACCAGTGTGGACAGCACGGACAGGCGACTCTGGACGAGACTCAGGCGACGCAGGACGAGAAACAGTACCAACAGTACCTCCAGCAGCTCCAGCACCAGCAGCACCTCCAGCAGCACCAGCTCCAGGGTCCGCAGCGCCAGGAGCGGCTCCAACTCCAGGGTCCTCAGCACCAGCAGCAGCTCCAACTCCAGGGTCCGAAGCACCAGCAGCAGCTCCAACTCCAGGGTCCGAAGCACCAGCAGTGCCCCTCCGGAGACTGCAGCGCCGAGCGTACCACTCTCGGAGCCGCTGGGGAGAGGGCGGCTCCCACCTAGGTGGGGAACCACGAGCACCAGCTCCAGTAGCACCCCTAGCTCCAGAAGCGCCCCTCCTGATGCTGCAGTACCGCGAATACCACTCACGCAGCTGCTGTGAAAAGGGAGCGCCTCCAGGCGCAGCACGCTCAGTCGCAGCACCCCCAGGCTCAGTACCCTCAGACGTAGCACTCTCAGGTCTAGCACCCCCAAACTCAGCAACCGCAGGCTCAGTACCCCCAGGCTCCGCACCCCCAGGCTCAGCACCCCCAGGCTCCGCACGCTCAGGCTCAGTGCACCCAGGCTCCGCACCCCCAGGCTCCGCACTCTCAGGCTCAGCACCCCTAGCAGGACGAGAGTCGACAGCTACCTCAACAGGCTCAACCGGGTCTACCTGGGAGACACCTGAGGGAGCGGCACCCTGAGGGGGGAGGGGGTCTACCACAGCAGCACCTGGTGCGAGGAAGAGAGGCGGGGGGGGAGCGGGGCAGTGCGGTAGGGGAAGACGCGGTAGTAGGGGACCGACTCGTCGAAAGTGACGTCCTGAGAGGGCAAGACACGGCGCGAGGTGGGGTGGTAAAACTGCCAGCCAGGCTCGTCAGGGACAAAGCCAAGGAAGACACAAGGAACAGCGCGGGAGGAGAGCTTGTCCGCGGACGTATCGCGGAAAAAAGCACGAGATCCCCAGGCCCGGAACACCGACGCATCGCCAACCTCTCCCGTCCAACGCAGTGTCGGCGAAGTCTCCGGAACGGAGACACGGGGCCAGAGGTTGAGCTGATGCGCAGCGTATCGGACCGCAAACGGCCACAGAAAGTGGGGGGCAGCCGCATGGATCAAGGAGGTACGAGCGACCTCCATGACCAAGCCAATGCGGCACTCAGCAACCCCATTCTGCTGTGGAGAGGCCGGAAGCGTGAACGACTGCTCAATGCCCTCCCCTTGACACAAGGCCCTCAGGAGGTCGGAGGAAAACTCCCCACCTCTGTCCGAGTGCAGACGGAGAACAGGAAGGTCTGAGTGGAACCTCTCGCTGAGCTGGAGACGGGCAGCGCGGATCCAACGGATCAAAACATCAGGGACTTCACCCTTGGTGTGCAAGGGGAAGACCGTGGTGTAGCGCGAGTAGTCGTCAACAACTATCAAGAAGTACCTCTCGTGACCCTGTCCACGGACGCGGGCTAGGCCCCACACGTCCATGTGGAGGGTCTGCAGGGGAGCGGTCGTCGGGGGAAACGAGGAGGAGTGAGGAGCGGCGCGCTGCCGCCCCTCGACACAGGGAAGACAGGGAGGAGCAGGCAAGGGTGGGAGGGGAGGGAGAACCCTAGGAAGACCAGAGACAAGGTACCGGGAGTGCATGCCACGAAGGCGCTGCACTGACGGGTGACCAAGGCGGTGGTGCCAGAGGACGGTCTGGTGCGACAGGGAGCGACACGAGCAGGGGGCCGACAGCTGACCTGACGCAGACGCAGACGCAGCTACCTGAGGGGACTCAGTGGTCAGTGTGTACAGGTCCGACCCCGGCTGCCGGGTGAAGGTAGCCAGGTGGCGACCCGTCCGAGCACACATGCAGTGTGTCACGCGCTCGTAGGCAGGGGTGAACTGGTGGACACCTCCGTCCTGGAGCGCACTACCCGCCACCAAGTTCGTAGAGAACGAGGGGAGGTAGAGACCTGACAGTGTGCCTGACGGGACCGCAGGACAAGGGAGAACAGTGGAGGAGGTCGCAATGACCGGACCCCCAGAGGGGTCAGCGAGGGAGACCGCAACCGGCCGAGCAAGCTGCTCAAGGACAGTGCGGTCACGAAAGAAACAGCGGGAAGCACCTGAGTCCAGTGTGAAGGCGTGCAGTGCCTCAGTAGACGCAGTACCAGAGGGCGCAGACTCACGGGTACCTAGAGCAGTAGACTCACCAGCACCTGGGGCAACAGACACGCTAGCACCTAGAGCGGAAGTCTCACCGGCACCTGGAGCAGCAGGCACACTAGCACCTAGTGCGGCAACCTCACTGGTCCTAATGCCCGGGTCGGGCGGGACACGCAGGTAACAGTCACCCTCTCCACTAGTAGACAACACATACATGGCACCAAGAATAGCATCAAAGTCAAGAGCATAGACATCAACGCTTTTCTTGATCATATCAAACCAGCGGGGCAGCTCAGTAGCAGCAGGAAACTGAGTGCGCCAGGCGTCGTCGAGGCGGGAGAAGCAGCGCAGCTGCCGCCCTCCCACACGTCTGACCAGTGCGGTCACCTGTGCGGATGACGTACGGGCAACTAAGGCTACCCCCCCCACGCTGAGAGTACCACTCACGAAGCTCCTGGGGCGACAGAGTCTGCTGCTGGCGCTGGCCACCGCCAGAGCCTCCACGACCGCCACCGCCGCCGCCGCCACCTCGACCACCACCGCCACCACCGCCACTGCGTCCACTGCCGCCGCCACCACCGCCCCAACCCCGGCCACCTCCTCCACCGCCGCCGCCACCACCCCCGCCGCTGCCGCCGCCACCCCCGCCGCTGTCACTGGCCCCTTCAGCCCCGCCACCACCCCCACCGCCGCCATCGCCCCCACCACCGCCTCCCCCGTCGTTACCACCGCCCCCCTTGCCCCCTTTGCCCTTGCCGCTGCGGCGCCCCCCACTCGCAGTGGACGCAGTCCCGACCTTCTCAGCACCAAGAAGGTCGACAGCAGCAGCAGAGGCGACAGAGGGGAGACGAGGGGAGGGGGAACACCCCTCGAAGAAAGGGGTGCGGGGGTCGCCACGAGAGGCACCGACTTCGACTATGCTAGTCTCAGCTGCCAGCAGTTGCTTCTCAAGCAGGTCAATGGTGAGCTCGGTAGGGCAGAGAGCAAGGAAGTGGTCCCTGACCGCACGAATGGAGTCAGGGAGACGGGTGACCAGGTGGTAAAGAGTGAGCCACAGCGGGGGGGGGTTCTTGGCAAGAAACTCAGCGGGCATGGCAGCACGAAAGCGGATCTCACTAGTGCGGAGGTGAGTAATGAGGTCAGCGACTGTGGAGAAGGCGGACAGGTCTGGGAACAAGTAGGGTAGGGAGAGGCGGCCTAGCGTAGCAGAGGCAGGCGAGGAGTAGCGTGCAACTACAGCTTTGTACAGTGCCTGAGCAGTCTTGTGCTGGCCAAAGTGCTCGCGTTCATCTATCGGCAGGGAGTTGCGAATGGCGAAGCGAGAGTGGGCGTCACGAGTCTGCCACTGTGAGCGGGCAATACTGTCAGCAGTCGTAGCAGGGGCAGGAGCGAGTCCTAACGCATGATCATAAAGTGAGATATCCTCCTTAGCATTGAGCTAGAGGAAAAGGTGGAGGTCATCTAGCCAGGTGTCAAAACGCAGCGGGCGGCCCTCAGCATCGAAAGCTAGAACCGAAGGACTAGCCATAGTTTCAGTAGGAGCAGTAGGAACAGCAGTAACAGCTGCAGCAGTAGCAGCAGTGAAACAGCACAGCGCGGCTCGGGCAGGGCAGCGCGGCGCGGCTCGGGCAAGGCGGCGCGGCGCGGCTCGGGCAGGGCGGCGCGGCGGCTTGCGCGTGCGGCTGCACGGGCTGCTGCGCGTGTGGTTGCGCGGGCGGCTGCGCGTGCGGCTGTGCGTGCGGCTGCTTGTGCGGCTGCGCGTGCGGTCGTGCGTGCGGCCTAGCGGGCGGCCGTGCGTGCAGCTGCGCGTGCGGCCTATCGTGCGGCTGCGCGTGCGGCGGATTGGGCGGCTGCGCGTGCGGCTGACGGGCGGCGCGTGCGGCTGTCCTAGGGGCGCACGACGGCGCTAGGAAGAGGGGCGCTCGACGGCGCTAGGAGGAGGGGCGCACGACGGCGCTAGTAGGAGGGGCGCTCGACGGCGCTAGTAGGAGATGCGCGTAAGGGCGCGGCGGAACGGTGGGCCCTAACCAACGTCGGTCCTAGGTCCTAACCTAGGCGTCGGATACCATGTTAGAATGTAGAACTGAACGAGAGTGAATGAACTAGGCATCAGGGTGATACAAGTAGGAAACCCTAGCAATGTTGTACCCCCTGAGGCTAAACCCACTATAGCCTACACAATATAAACATGTATAATGTTTGACACCCATGCCACCTACGAACATCACCATGCAGCCTGCTGACCAATTCCCGTGCACTGCGGGAAATGCATGGCTGTTACTGCAGCACAACAACGACTGCAACGTGAGGCAACACATGTGGCGCAATGCTTGGCTCAGCTGGCAGTGGGCGTGGTGTGGTGTGGTGTGGCACGATTTTGGGGTGCGTTGAGGGCAAGACAAGACTTCTCGATTTTGCGCCAGTGGTCGAAAGTGACAACGGTGGCAGTGGGACCGTGGGACAATTTGTCTACACTGCACGCGAGGTGTGGCCGGATCCGCGCTAAGAAAGGTTCGGTAACTGTGTAATGCGCACCGAACCCTGATACCGGCAGGGTCATCGAAATCGTTGTCTGTGTAAGTCTTACCATCAGCCCCCGGATAGAAGCGCCCCTCGGGTTATAAAAAAACACGTTTTTTTAGGGGGTGCGCTTATAATTGAGGATTTTTATATGCGCCGGTGCTTATATAATAGCATATATGAAATTCGTCGTTTTCCCACCAAACTGTAGATCCTGTTCTTCCGAACTGAATCGAGTCGAAACTACTGTATTCTCCTGGACATAACACTCTAGGGTATAGCTAAAAATACAGGGAAAAAATGGGGGGGGGTCTCCTGATAGGAAAAAAATACATAATACCTGGGTCTTTACATATTGTATATTTTAGTGTTGGTGTTTATTTAATTAGACAATGTGGATGTTTTGATTTTCATTTTAACATCATTGTCAGAGGCGCGAACGCAGGCCCTCAGAAGTCAGACTTTTTTCTCTGATTTGGACCTTTTTCTCTGAGATTTCAGATTTTTTTTCCTGTGTACTCTGATAAAATCAGACTTTTTTGGACCTCAACTCTGTAATTTTCAGACTTTTTTTAAGGCTAACTCTGAGAGTTCAGAGTTTCCTGAGAGTGTACTCTGATAATTCAGAGTACAAACGCGTCCTTGACTGGTGATTCGGACTTCCGGGTCATAGCAGATTCGCACTGTCAACGCAAAATCGCATTGACACAGCAAATCCGAATCTTATGTCAAATGATATATATGCTACATATGCTTAGACTGTAGTGGGGTAGCCAATATGGGGTACAGCCCACATTAGGGTTTCATATTTGTACCTCGTTCTCTCATAGTTCAATCATTCCTGCTGCTAGATTCTGACATGGTTAGCCGCCCCTGCAGGCCCGCCAGGCCCGCGAGCCGCCCCTGCAGGCCCGTCAGGCCAGAGCGCCGCCCCTACAGGCCCGTCAGGCCAGAGCGCCGCCCCTGCAGGCTCGTCAGGCCCGCTACCCGCCCCTGCAGGCCCGTCAAGCCCGCGAACCGCCCCTGCAGGCCCGTCAGGCCGGGTCGCTGCCCCGCGAGTCGCGCCCGCTGCCCGCGCGTCGCGCTGCAGCCCCGCGAGTCGCGTCCGCTGCCCGCGCGTCGCGCTGCAGCCCTGCGCGTCGCGCCCGCTGCCCGCGCGTCGCGCTGCAGCCCCGCGCGTCGCGTTCGCTGCCCGCGTTTCGCGCTGCAGCCCCGCGCGCCGCGTTCGCTGCCCGCGCGTCGCGCTGCAGCCCCGCGCGCCGCGCCCGCAGCTCGCGCAGCGCGCTGCAGCCTCGCGCGCCGCAGCTGCCCCTGTTCCTCGCGGCTGCCCCTGGACGCCGCCCTGCAGCAGCTGCCACCGTCGCTCCTGCAGCAGCTGCCACGGAGCGCCCTGCCACAGTCGCGGCCCTGCCCAGCAGCAACTGCCGCGGAGCCTTCTGCCGCCGTTGCGACCCCGCCCTGCAGCTGTCACGGCCCCGCCCTGCAGCAGCTGTAGCGGCCCCGCCGTCGCCGCCGTCGTGAGCCTGCCCTTCCCGCCACTGGTGAGCACCTACCTTGTTCGTGCGCTACCTGCCTGCCTCCCTGCCTGCCGGCCTGCCTGCCTGCCGCGCCTGCCCTGCACGCGCTGCTGCTGCTACTACTGCTATTGCTACTGCTACTGCTACTGCTGCTACTGACGGTGGCCAGATGCAGCTCCAGCGACGTCCGCGTGAGTCCCTCACGCCCCAGCAGCTTAGTGAGTGGTACGCTAGTTGGGGTTGTAGGGGTGGCCGCGTTGCTACTGCTGCTACTGCTGTTACTGCTGCTACTGCTGCTACTACTGCTACTGGCGGTGGCCAGATGCAGCTCCAGCGACGTCTGCGCGAGTCTCGCACGCCCTAGCAGCTTAGTGAGTGGTACGCTAGTTGGGGTTGTCGCGGTAGCCGTCGTAGCTGTCGCCCTGGAGCTGGTCAGTTGGGAGAGTCTGGCAGTGG